ACAGTTTTATAACTAATTTAACAACTTGTAGATTATAACTGATAAAATTGATTGCAATTATGAATGAAGAAATCTGTACAAGTTTCTTTTATTTAGAGTTAGCCATTCATTTTTTTGTATTTCCTGTATACTGTTAATTAACCTACATTTTATTGTAGATTTTTAAATTGTATTTTGCAAAATTCAGAACAAAACACACTTTTATTATCCTTGATATTTTGTGTACAAAAAAATCAGGATATCATAAGTAACATTTTAAATAAGCTTTTTCTTATAAAGTTAAGTAAATTTAAGCGAGTTTAATCAATACAAAATCAGATATTCATTATAGAAAACAAATTAAGGAATATTAATAACAATAATAATATAAATAGAAATTTGATAGAATATTCTGTAAGTTGTCATCACAATATTTTATACTCATTATAAAATTATTAAGTCTAATTGTCAAGAATATATTAAATTTGAGTTTTGAAATTTAATAAAGTTTTTAGTTAATAGCCGGGTCTTTGAGAAGAACCCGGCTATTGCAAACAATGATAAAACTGACATAATTACACAATAAGTCACGAATACCAACTAACAAAATGGAAGTTTTGATTAGAAATAAATACTTTTTCTTGCCATATATCTAATAATAGACAGATCTCATCGTCTCTCCAAATATCTTTTTTATTTCTCTGTCGATAGCCTGACACATGTTCCGCTGCCATATTGTATTTTCTTGCGCACGTGGGATTGTGGGATCTCTCTTATGATTGAAACTAGTTTTAAGAACTCTCTTGAGTCTATCGCAATTGAACCTCATTTCAGTCATGATTGAAACGGTTGAGAGAGGTTGCACCACAGCATAGTCTCTGACCTTGGTCACAATCCAGATTGAAATGCTCAGTGTGAACAGGCTGTTAACTTGATATTTAGGTCAGTAATGGTTTGTTGAACAGTCATAGAATGGTCTCATTCTGATGAAGAATACAATCATTTGGTGTATAATCAGGATGTTTCTTTGTGATTTTCCTCTTTATTTGATTTTTTTAGGATCCTTGAATAATACTCTTCAGTGACAGTTCTCTCTCTCAGAATGCAGTCATCATAGATGAAACTCTTTTATCTCAAAAAAAAAAAAAAAAAAAAAACACTAGGCCATAACTTTGCTTGCACTTTGTTTCAATTTTACCTTTTTTTAGTTAGAGATTACTAGGATGGCTCCAAAGAACACATTCCAATTTTGTTGCTAGATCAAAATAACGAAACCATGATTCTTTACAGGTCACAACCATATTTGGTTTATGATGAAGTCTTATTTTCCACTGTTGTCATAATGCTACTTGATCTTTGACTGTCTTTTGTCCATTCTGAAATTTCTTATGCCAGTTAAACACTTGTCCCCATGATAAAGCACGTTCCTTAAATGCTCTTTGAATCAATTTGAAGGTTTTCTGTGAGTAGCTATTAAATTTTTAGATTTGTCCATTCTAACAAAATTTAATTGCTACTCTTTGTTCATCTTCAGATCTATATCAAATATGTGCTATATTATATACTTCTTTATTTGGCAGCCTATGGGAATTGAATGAAAAGACATGCCTTGTTATAATATGCTCTAATGCATCTAGAGTAACGACATTGAAATATGTCATGAGTGCAAGTATATCAAGTAATTAGTTTTTGCAAATGTACAGCAGCTTAACTTTTTGAACTGTTTTTGTATAGGTAACATTACTATCAATACATAGAAAAAATATTCTAGAAAATTGTTATTCTTTATTATAAATAAAGAATAACAATTTTTATTTTTTTATATATTTATTTATTATTTATGAATTATATATTTATTAATTATTTATATTTTATTTATTACAATATTTATAATACTAATAATTTAGTACTGATTCAGTCTAAATTAATATATACAGTAGAGCATTGATTATCCGACTGAATTGGGGACTGGGGTTGGTTGGATAACTGAAAAAATGGATAACCGAAAAGTATGAAAAAATACATTATTATATATCTCATGTAATTAGTATATTAGTATATCACATATATATACATATATACATATATACATACATATATACATATACATCACATTTTGTATATCGAATGTAAAACAAAAAAAAAATTTTGCAACTTTTTTTTTGTTTTACATTCACTCCATTCTTTTCTTTAAATGTGTATTTCTTGAGACATTGTCATAAAAAATTAGTAGGAAAAAATATATATAACAGATTAAAGTTTTTCCTTTATTTTATTATTTGTAAAAATATTTTTAACTCAATGCACATTAAGAAATTCCTGAAATTCTTGGCTTGGCCTTGACCTCTGGTCTATCAGAGCATCAAGCCACCTGTCCATCATTATTTGTAAAATACAGTGGGTGATCAGTTAACGAACAGATCGGACAACGAACAAATGATCGGATAACAAACACCCCACAGAACAAACACAAGAAGAAGCGACGTAAAATAATGAATACCCATTTGTCTTCCCTTGTCTTCGGGCAACAATTAGAAACTTTTCAGAGTGTGGGAGATGTCGACATCGACGCTCAAGCCGGTATATACCGATCAGATAGTATTCCTCCGAACTTTGAAACTCTCCCTTGTAATTCCAGCCTTTTATTTTTCTGACAAAACAATTCTTTTGTGTATTTGCGAGATTGTCGGGTAGGCACTCGTTAAGTTTTGCGTCTGTTTTTCTTTTCAAAAGGTGAGAGTATAATAGCAAAGGTAGAGAGTGAGCAGAAGATGCCTAATGTTTCTGGGCAATATGGCGTAACAGGTAAACAGGTCATCGAAGAGTTCGTAATGTAACCTAAAACGGATCTGACGACAGAAGAATGCCAAGAACTCTCGAATGAAGAACACCAAGAAACTTGACGAGATACGTTTTCTTCTGAAAAAGAGGATTAATGCCAATATCTGTTATTAGAGATTCTTTGTAGAAGTAGGAGGATGTCAGAATGACGGTCTTCGAATGGCATCCAAACCAGGTTGAGGCTTCGGGGTCTCTACAATTACAATGCTATTAATTACTTACGAAAAACCGTGAAGAAGAGAGAAAAGCGATCGACATTAGACAGATTCTTTAACCCCCACAAACGGAAAGAATATGACTAATAAAAATGCAAGACTGTGTATATATGTATTTTTATTATTACATATAAATAAACATAGTAAGAAAGTATATATTTTTTTATTTTTGGGGGTCTCTGGAACGAATTAATCAAATTCTCATAGAAACCTATGGTAAATCGATAATCGGTTAACGAACAATTCGGATAGCGAACAAAGTCTTGGAACGGATTATGTTCGTTAACCGATCACCCATTGTATATTCATAAATCATTACAGTAAACTAAACAATATATATTAATAATTTTATCTGATGTCACTGGACTATCTAATAATTTAGATTAAATTGAATTGATAAATTCACTTTATAATACTAATAATTTAGTACTGATTCAGTCTAAATTAATATATACAGTAGAGCATTGATTATCCGACTGAATTGGGGACTGGGGTTGGTTGGATAACTGAAAAAATGGATAACCGAAAAGTATGAAAAAATACATTATTATATATCTCATGTAATTAGTATATTAGTATATCACATATATATACATATATACATATATACATATACATCACATTTTGTATATCTCATGTAATTAGTATATTAGTATATCACTATTAACCTACTTCGCGTTGAATTTTCATCAATGTTAAGCCTAACAATTTTTTTTTTAAATAATAATCATCGCTATTGTATCGTTAAAAATTATTTTAAAATTATTTTATTGCTCACAAAACAAACAACCACTCATAATTAGAAAATTAAGCATCATTTAAATACTGGCTTCCCTTTCATGATCAAGCCAGTGTTGCCAGCTATAACATGCAAAAATTTAACAAAAATAATATTAAAGTAGCCAAGACACAGCCAAATATTGTAGCACCACATCACTGGTGGACATTTGAATTTGCCAACTAGAATGCAGTCAGTTAACCAATGTGACAGTTAATCGGGGGTCAGATAATTGATGCTCTACTGTATAATCAATGCAATTGACATTAGTTATACAGCTTCAGTGTATATAACCACATGCTTAACTTCTATTATTTATATATATTAATGTATAAATGATCGAAGTATCTAGTATATTTAGACTAGATAAGACAAACTTCAATTTTATTTTTGTTCTAACTTAATTCCCATAGACTCAATGCATTGTATTTCTAAAAGTCCAAGAAATTTTGAAATTACACTATACTAATTACAAATTCATGACTTTTAAAAATTTACATCTTGGAAAACAATCTTTATATTTTTGTTAGTTGAGATTGAAGAAATTTGAAACCATATTATATATAATTATATTAATTTCTGAATGTGAATATAAATTTTAAAGATTTCACTTTTTCATTTTCAATAAGTGCAAGAGAATTTTTAATCTGCAGAAGTATTAATTTTTACCTTTTACTTTCCCTGCTGTTATGCATACATAATGAGCAATTATTTATTGTGATGTCATCACAATGCTAGGCTGCAATTTTTAATCTTGGTTTTAATTTAAAATATATGCTTTCCACTTCAAATTAGTAGTGGCTGCACCTGTATGTACATCATACAAGTCAACATTGGGAATTTATAGATAAAACAATTTTTTTCAAATTTCAGCTCAACAAGGAAAAGTATTGGAATCATTTCAAATTTGACCATCCCAGTTTTTTGCAAATCATGTTTTGGACCTCCTGAATCCAAAAAAGTAAAAAAATCCAGCAATGAGATTTGCGTAACTTTCTCAGCTGTTATGAGTTTTTATTAAAAAAAACATATACTATTAAGAAAAATATAAAATTGTGTGTGGTGCCATCTGTTTTCAGATTTTGTTAAAAACTTTTTATATTTTTAATTACTATAAAATGGCAAAAAGTTTAACTTTGAGGGTATAGATGAGTTTATTAAAAAATGTAAATTTTAATAACGAATAAAATCTTAAGTCCTACTCCTCTTGAGATACATGACCCCTCTCAACCTTTCACCATCAAAATTTAATAGCATCAATGCTTGTCATGTATAAGCCACCATGCTAAGTCTCATTTCTTAATTTTTATCCCATCCCGAGATATTAAGCAAAATAAATGACAAAAAAAACTCGATTAATATTTTAGTTATTAACATTCACATTTGTTTATAAAACTCATTCCTTCCCTCAAAATTAACCCCTTTTGCCATTTTATAATAATTAAAAATACATAAAATTTTTATAATAAAAATCTCATAAAAGTTGGGAAAGTTAGGCAACTCATTGCTAGATTTAAAAAAAAATAAACCAATGGATAAAAAATAAGTCTTAACAACTTAATAGGTGTTAAAACTAAAATAATAACTGTTTTGCAGTTGCTGTAATTATTTATTTGCATGTCTATGAATGTAAAGTTTTTTATTTATACACTAGATTTTCATGCATATAATCTACAAGTTGACTGTATTTAAAAGATCATTTTAAAGGGGTGTACATTATGTGATGGGGTGAGTTATACACTGATTTCAAATTGTAATAATAAACTCGCATATATGAAGCAATGGATACGCTTCCATAGGCACAGGGTATGTGGTGGAGGGGTTATGCAAAGATTTCATTATTACTCCAGGTTATATGCATCAAAATATAGTACTTATAACAAATTTACTCTAGACAACTTTTAATTTACCTTATAAAACTTTGTCTTGTTCAATTAAACTTCAAAATTTTTAAATTTTTCTATATAGTAAAATGTTTTTTAAAAGAAAACTCTTGTGCATAAAAACAAAAATCAATTATTTGGTGTATTTTTACAGATATCCAGACAATTGGTATGAAGAAATTACATCTAGCCAGCAGTTTTTTTCTCTGGCTGCAGTTTACAAGTTACAGATAATAGGATTAATAGTGGCAGAAATTAAATCTCAATCAAAATGTAACAGAGAGGTAATGATTTAAAATTTAATACTTAAGTTTTTAGTTACTTACATTTGATATAAAATTATGAAGAGTTGCTGCTATAAAATAAAAATTGCATTATAATTTATCATTTTATGATTAAATGATTTCTTTTACATTCAAATTTTATAAGATTAATGATTAATATTTTTGCTGTTAGATTTTTTAAACTTCTCATAAGTTTAAAAATCTATCAGAGAAAAAATTTTTAAAGGAATTATCATTCCTTTAAAAATTTCATCGTGGATAATACAGAACTTTGGTTAAATGGGTCTTGGTTAGTTGGAACTCTACCTTATTTGTTGAAGAGGTATTAGTTTTAAGAGGATCAGGATTAGCAAATCAGTCCCAGTAAACATATGCCTAAGAATAAATTGTTCTTGAAGTATTGTATAAGCAAAGTTTCAACAAACATTATATGTGAAAAAACAAAAAATATTGTGTAATCCATGTGAAGGATTTAGTTATTAGAATGGGGTTAATAATAATGAAATTTCTAGGAAAGGCTAGAAATTGAAAAATCCTGATGATGATTTGAATTGAAGAGATTTACCAAAATTAATGAAGTGATAGGAGCAGAAGCATGTATCAGAGCAGGTAGAAGACATTTTAAATAATTTTTGTAATAATTACACTTTCTTTCAAAAATTCATATACTTTTAATAAAAGGTTTTTATTGCAGAAAAATGCAATAAATAACTATTATAATTATTTATTTGAAATGAATATTCTTTAAAACTATGCATATAACTTGAGAACTGCTTGTTACTATACATATTAATATCTCAAAACTTAATATGAATTTTATTTCCAACCTTTTTTAAGATATCCTTTATTAAAAAAAGTAGAGTTTTTAACTTGCATATAAAGAACAAAATCCTTTTGCTGTTCAAATTTTTGATGATTTTTATAATAATTTTTTATGAGATGTTTTCCAACAATTATAATGCTGTTATATATTATTTATTTGAAATAGTTAAACTTACAAAACATTATTCTAAGTAAATTAATTCTAAGTTATAATGATTTATTTTATTTACTTCAAATTTATCGACAAAATATATTACAATATTTAATAAATAATTAAACAAACTAATGTACTATTTACTTAACCAAATATTTGTAATAAGAATACAAAAATCAATTTATAAAATTATCCTCTATATTTTCCTGTTTTGTGATTATATGAATAGATTTGTTCCAGGTATGAAAGTATAATTTTTAGAATTTATCTAAAATAAATCTATATTGTAAATATTTTATAAGTTTTATTTTTATAAATTTTTGTTTTTCTATGCTACATTGTATCATCATTAGTGCTATAGTGTAATAAAGTATTAACATTGATTTTGATAAAATAAAACATGTCAGTTTATGAAATTAAATAGTACAAAACAGAAAAGAAAGAGTTTATGTTAACAACAATTAATTTTAATAAAACATAACATTGGTCCATGACATCTTGGTTAAAAGAAGTCAAAAAAACAAGGATAAACTAGTCCCTGTAGTTAATCTCCTGAATTAATCAATGCATCTTTGACAGTGGGTGAAGTTAAATGCATCTAAATGTAAGCGAGCCTGTTTCTTCTCCACATGGATATACTCCAAAACTTTTCAATCTATCTTCTGGTTCATTGCTATTAATAATAATAATAATAAATTCATATCCCTCAGATGCAATCCAACTCTCTACTGCCTCTTACAGAATGATGATGACCTCACAGATGACAAGTGGAGTAATAGAGTGTGTGTTGTCTTATTCAATGAGGAAACCAGTTTCGAAATAGTATATATAAGATACAGCTTCTGAGTACTGAAGTAGATTTGCAGATGGACAGAATCATCAGAACTGCTTCGCGTCCTCCCAGCATAGAAATATGAAATTTATATGATTACCAATGAGTGTTTAAACAGAAGGGATAAGGACTTCCCTGCCTGGCAATATCTCCTTAGTTTTACATGTTAATTGTCATTGTCAAAGTCCATCTTTCCTTACATGTTTATCTTATCCCATCTTCCTTTCTAATCCACATTGGCATTCTTCCACTTTCATCTATTTATGCCTGAAGATGGCCTGTTAACTATGCAAAAATGTTAGCATTCCTTCAACTTTACCCATAATTAAAGATGCATTGAGTAATTTAGAAATAAAAATTTTAATGTTTTAAAAAGAACATACTTTAATGTGATGAAATAATCTCATTATAATGAAAGTACATACATTTATAACAGGCCTTTCCTTGTAAAAACCTACAGGAGATGAAATTTTTATCCTCTTACAAATTAATGTGAGATTAGCAGTAGGCCACTGGGCTCATCCCAAATGACCACTTACTATGCAACAGGTTGGTGAAACCTGTTCTCGGCTTGTCGGATGGCTAGGAGGGCAAAAAATTGAGTGGGGAGTGCATCAGTAAGTCGGCAGGTATCCTTCAGAGACAGGAGACAGATTTAAAAACTAAACAAGCATTTATTTATATAACTAAGCTACGATACATAGGTTAAATGCGATTAAATAAGTTCACTATACAAAAGGGATGCTTTAATAGCTTTCCCGGCTAGTCTGAGAGAGAGTTCACAAAGCTCTAAAAGTACAAATACCTCTATGCGGATATGTGTAATATGTGTTCATTGAATACGTTTATTAATGGCGATGGAAGTTCAAATGGCTGTGGTTGGTCGTATGTCTTTTCGGTCTGGAGTATGGAGACAAATATGGCACATCTACCAAGTATAACTTCTGAGGGATCGCTCGGAGCTTCCAGAAACTCGAGCTTTTATACATTATTCGTGGGAAATGAGTCACGTGATAGACTTCTGTTGACACTTATGGTGCATTCCGATCAACTAAGTGTCAACTTTCCCACCTTAATGTGAAAACAATCGGTGACCTCCAATATACTTCTCACCAAGAGTGGGTTTTTCCTCAGAGTTGTTTACAAAGATTTTTCCGACATCGGCGTAAAAATCGCGGATTTCACGTTAATTTTGTGTATCTTCTATACATGATTATATTTTATCTCAAATCAGATTCATTATATCAGGTGAGGTAATAGAAAATAAACATGCCAGATGAAATTTCAGTTGTTTGTTGTAATCTTATCATTTTATTTTTTATAATTGAAATAAATGTGATTTTTATACAACTTTCTTTTGTTCATTGTGCACATTTTGTATATATTTCCATTTTATATTCATTATGGATATGATTTTCATTTGAAGTTCTTATTTATAAATAACAAGCAAATAATAAAAAAAACTTATTTTAAATTATCTTTGTTAATAAATCATATAATAATTTTTTAAAATTTTGTTGTTTTAAATAGGACCAAGGACTTTTATCATCACATTTTGCAAAGAATACTGAAGTAGCTTACATATTGACTTTAGGAGTAGTCAGAGAATGCCGTCGAAATGGAATTGGTAAGAAATTCTATTCTTTTATTTCATGTTTATTACTGAATATTAATCTATTTTACTTGTCATTAGCAACTCTCCTTTTAGATAGCTTAATATCTCACCTAACAACAAATCCAGAAGAGAACAATTGTAAAGCTATTTATTTACATGTACTGACTACTAATATGACAGCAATCAGATTCTACGAACATCGAAACTTTCGACTGCATTCTTACCTTCCTCTGTATTATTCTGTCCATGGTAGCCTAAAAGATGGATTTTCGTACGTCCTCTACATAAATAGTGGTCATCCTCCGTGGACTTTACTATATCCTTTTCAGTATTGTGATTTACTATATTATTTAAATATAGAAAAATTACACACTTCTTTTGTTAGAAGTTATAAAATAGAAATTATAATTTTTCCAAAATCATTCAAACAAATAATAATATTTTATAACTTCTAAAAAGTGTGTATTAAGGATCAGATAAAAGCTTTAACAAAAAGAAAGAATTCGATCATTCTTCTTCTTTATAAAACTTACAAATTAAGTTTAAACAAACAAATTACTTTATTACTTCAAATTTAAGATTCACCCAAATTTTAACGGTAATTTCCAGAGAAAATATTGAGTGATAATTAGAAGTAAATATAGTTAAAAGAATTTGTCATAAAACATTAAAATGCTGCTTTCCATCTTTATAATAAATTTCTATTTAACAAGCAAAACATGTTAAAGCATTTAAATATTTCAAGCAGTAGCATAGATAAGAGAGGGCAGTCCACTCTGGGTTACTTTTTGTCTACTGCAATGAAAAGATAAATTTTTGTAGGGATAGTAGAATGATGCGAGATGTCAAACAATATTATATCTTGCTATAAAAATGCTTATTGTTGGAAATTTCTGACAATGTTAAAGACTGTGTTCTGTTGTAGATGGTATTATTGACTGTACTACCTATTTAAGTGCTTAGTCAATAATAACATTGAGAGCAGTGTTCTAATTTTTTCTTAGGTATTTCCTATGGCTATATTTTCACTTGATAATATATTATGTTGTGTTTTTTGTGGTGTCAGCAAATTCAAGGACCACCTTGGTGGCAGAATTCTAGCTACATCACTGATTTTAGTCTACTTGCTTTCCAGATATTGTCTGCAGTTGATAAGCCTTGCAAGTGTACTGTCTGCATTTGTTTAGTAATAGAAGTTCAGATTCTAAATATTTTTATATTAAATAGAGGAATATGTGATTTTATTTACATTTGGCTGTAAGCTTATTCTTCTCTGGAAAAAAATTATGAGTAATATGGCAGTCTTCTTAAATTCAGGTTATTCTAACTTAAGTTTGGAAACATGGAAATATGAAAAAAAGGTACCTCTTAAATTTGAAATAATACAATATTTTTATTTTTTTTACTCTGTACCTGTGGGAGGGTACTAAAATGGCCCTTTTTTCTCCCTAAGCCCATAATGGCTAGATGGGTAGAGGGATGGGACCTAACTTACTGATATAGACTATCTCCTGAAGAATTCCTGGGGTTTTTTGACATATTCTGATTTGATCCTGGGTCCCCAGAAGAATAGGCACCTTGCCACTGTGACCATTCTGCTGACAATATTTAGTTTTATTTAAATACTAGCTCAATTTAGAATCATATAGTTAATTTAAATATAAAAATCAAAGTATTTTTGTATATAAATTTTCAATAATTATAATAATATAAAATATGTATATAGTCAAACCCTGTTTATATTTTTTTCAAGATAACAAAAAAAATATTCACTTGTACATTTTTCTCACTTATACAATATATTCTGTGAAATGATAACTGATGACATACTACACCAGTATGAGTCATCTCCTGCCAAAACTCCAGTCAAGTGAAAGAATGAAGACTCATTCTAAGGATTATCCATTTCAAAGTGAATAAAAAGTGCTATAGAGTACCAAAAATATGATGTATAAATGTGAAATCATATAACTGAAAGTGTTTTATAATGGATAAAGTACCATGCAGAAAATATTTAATGTAAAAATATACTATACAATTGAGAGATGTATAAGTGGGGTTTGACCATTTATATTATTTTAATAATTCTATTATCTTTAATCAAAAGAAACAGATTATATCAAGCATTGGAGTAGTTTGGCTCTCCAAATGAAAGTATGTTCATTACCAAAACATCTGTTGCAAATGATGAGAAGGCTAATTACAAAATTATGGCCATTTACATCTTAAAATTGCATGTACAAAAAAAAAACTACATATGCAAAAGCTGACTTCATAGTAAAAATTGGTGATGTACAGATGGATAGAATATCATTTTTTTAATATCTACATTAGTAAATAAATATATATATACATATATATATATATAATAAATTATTAATCTCAAATTTGCATAAATTAATTTTGTGATAGACTTGCAGATTGAGATTTTGTAAATTTCAAAGATGTTAGCACAATTTTAATTATTTCTATAGGTTAATTGTATACATTTCAATATAATTAAATTATATATCACCACGCAAATATGCCATAAAGAAACAAAGCAGAGCAATTTATTTAAGTCCATAAATTGCTTATAGCAATTAGGATATGCTTATAATGTAAATATATTTAGTTTCATAATTTATGTGTAAAGTTCTATTGTAATATAATGAATGATTCCATTTGATAAAGCAAACTTGTATTTCGTATGCCATTCTGTATTGAAAACGATCCTAACGAATTGTGATAAGTGCAATTTTCTCATTTTTAAATGTTTTTTTTTCCACTGTATACGATTATTATTATTATTATTTTCAACATATTTATAATTACAATATTTTCATGAGACTAGATAGTGAGGCTGCTTTAATGCACTTATCACTGAGACTATATGAAAATATTTTTTAATAAAACTCAAACTTTTCTTTGTTATTGAGTTATGTATATTTATTTTCAAACAAAATGATGATAAATAAAAAATTGTCCATTATAAATACAGTTATTCTTCTTGTGACTCTTCCATAATCATGTTAATCAGGATTTCAAATATGCATAAATGATAAATTTATACAGATAGATGTCATAAACTGTGGATGATTGCTATCTGTAGTACAAGTTGTTAAATCATCCACGAAGACTAAATCCTCATCTTTATGATTTACAAAAATTTAAATTGATTAATTTGCTAAATCTTTAACTAAAATCAAACTGTTTCTAAATCAGAAAAATAAAACTAATACAAAATATTTTGCCCATATTAATCTTATTCTTAGTAGCTATTGAAATATTTTACTAACAAGTAGGACTAGTAGTAATATTTTAGATAATTAATAAAGCTAGGACATTGCCATAAATGTCTGTTTTGTCTATTAAATATTAGGGCCTTTATATCAAAATGTATATCAGAGAATGTTTTGTTTGATTTATCAAACTAAGTTTGTCTAAAAATGGCACAATTGCAGATGTGAATGACACTGTTGGGACCTAAACAGAGCTGTAGAGCATGCCCATAGGAACAATGCCTTTACATATAACTTTGCAAGATATAGTAGCCCTGGAAATCAGCCTACTTCCAGGACACAATTGGGAGTCATGCCATGCACTCTGCTAATACTATCATGCTTAACTATTCAACCCAGGTGACTATGCTGGCTTTGAGTAGCCCACTTGACTGTTCATAGAGTACTTGATGTAATATGGTTTCGGGCAGTGTTTCCCAACGTGGGGCCCACGCCCCATAAGGGGGCAATTCGATTGTTAAGGGGGGCAATTTGAAAATGAGTTGTTGACTTTTTTTTTAGGCATCAGAATTTTTCATCGAGCTATTCGGACTTGAGTAGCTAATATTGGAAGATTAATCGCGGGCCACATAAATTCATCAGACAGGCAATATATTGGCCATGCCTGGTATAGCCACTGTATATGTTAGGGGGCATGAGAATTTTAGAAAGGCTTAGGTGGGGCATAGCACAAAAAAGGTTGGGAAACACTGGTTTAGGGGGTGTGGGGTCTCATCCCACCCAGGCATTGAGGTGTGAGTGATAGCAAGCACCAAAGCACAACAACATGAGGAGTGTCGGTCAAGGCTATATGGCTTCAAATTATTCAAAAAGATTTTAAAATAGCTTCAAAAAATGTTCATATATCTTTTATTTATTTATTAAATCCATTTTTTGAATTTTATAAAATGAATATACAGTGGTACTTCGGTATACGTCCTGTTTGGACAAAACAAATTTTGCTCGGTATACAATTTAATTCAATTACACGCGCCATCTATGAACAAGTAGCACTATCGGTGTATTAGACCAGACTAGAAGTTCACGGTGCCACAGTTTATGACTTTGTTAAATTTCTTCTGATTTTAATTTGTAAATAAAATTTTATTTTTATTAATCATGAATTGCAAAAAGGCAACAGAAAAATAAAAAAAATGACTAGAATCACAATGGAACTGAAAAAAGAGATTGTTGAGAAATATGAAGGTAGCATGCGTGTTCGAGATTTAACTGTTGAATACCGTATTCCGACAATATCGACAATCGTGAAAAATAGACATTATTAAATTTGCTAATGTTGTGAAAGGGGTTAAATCAATTTCTAAACAGAGATCAAAAACATTAGATTATGTTGAGAAATTGCTTTTGCTTTGGATAACTGAAAAACTGTGCTGGCAACAGCATATCAGAAGCAATTATTTGAAAGAAAGCTAAAAAGATACATGCTGATCTCATGAAAAATCAAGCAGGAACTAGCCAGGAAAGCGAGGTGTTTAAAGCCAGCCATTTTTTTTACATGAAAACGGATTAATCATTTTTACATTACTACTTATGGGAAAGGTTGGTTTGGTATACGTCCTATTCGGTATAAGTCCAAACACCAGGAACGGATTAAGGTTGTATACCGAGGTTCCACTATATTACATTACATACAATATATCCACTTTTTTATCCCTATCAACTTAGATTTCAGGAGAGGTCAAAATTGCTGTTTAATTTGATCCCAACTGAGAGATGGATTGATCTTAGGACTTATAAGCTTTTAAACAATAGAAGAATGTATTGCATTTTTCATATAAAAAGATATTTCTAGCTTCTTTTCTTTTTTCAAAAATGTTTTAATGCAAATTTTAGTGAGCGTTCAGAGCCTCACATACAAAATTCAGAACATTCTTACAAAATAATCAGAGATCATTTTATAATTGATGAAAATATATCAAAATGTATGCAACACAATGATGTATTTTATCCTTTTCAATACTGTATTACAGTATTTTTCTGACCAAATAAAATTATTTCCATTATTAATATTATTGTAAAATTGAAGAAATGGATAAACTATTATTAAGTTAAAAATACATAGGAGAAACAAAACATCTTTACACTCCTTCACACTATCAGGTGATTGGATATGAGGAAGTTTTTAAACTGTTTTACATAACTTCACAGAGGTGTTCACTAATAAAAGGTTGTCTCTGTAAAGAGAGACTTTGTTCCTGGTGATTGGACATGATGGAAGTGTGAAGATATTTTAGTTTTTTCTATGTAGTTTTAATATAAACAATACTGTCAGCCACTTTAATTGAAACTACTCACTAAATGAAGATAGTGAGAACACTTTCATCATAGTTTTTCTCAACCTTCCTCTCTCCTCATCTATAGTTAGTGCCAAGGATAGCCATGAAATAATGTATTTTGTAATTATTATGGGACCATACCAAGATAATTGCCTTCTTTATGTTTATTAGTTTAATTTTTTCACTTTTGATTTTATCTATACACAATATTCTGCATGAATCTCAGTGACTGCATTTAGTCTTCTTTCATCTGCTTTTAATATTCTCCATGAATATACTTCTTGCTGTGTTGTTAGATATATTTTATTTTCTTTGAGATTTTGGCATTCTAAATTCAATCTAGTTTCTTAAATTGTCTTTTCCTGTGTCCTGTTTCTCAACTATCTCTTCCATCTTGGCTTAATTCCACATCAGCATATTTGCTTATAGTGGCTACATACTGTAAATTCTACATTCCACTTTTATGCTTATTAATTTCACCTTTCTTGAAGTAAATATTTTCCAGCAGAACTTTTAAAACCTTATGCCAGCTTGTGAAAAATTACTATAGAAAATAAAATCTTTCCTTTTCCAGCTGAGAAATGTGATATAATGGCCTAATCATCAGTTGGAAAAATTGAGTACATAAGTATTTTTGAAGACAAACAGAAAATAAAGAAAAATTCTGTTTACATGTTGATTCTGTTTTCTGAAAATTAAAATATCCAGAACAATGTCTGAATTTTGACCACCTTCCGATAATACCAACAGCAAAGATGGGTGAAAGAAAATTACAGATAGTCCTCAATTTATGATAATCCCATTGTAAGTTGGAACATTAAAATGAATCTTACTGTATACATATGGATGGCATTGAGAACCTCATCCTATTAACGTCAATATTTTTTTAATCAATCCACTGAAATAACTTGAAAAATATACATCCAACAAAAAAAAAATTAATTGAACAAAAAACATTAGACTTCAAGGGGCTATCAGTTTCATCAGAGATGGCACTACAATGGGTAAAAATGGGAACCCTCAGTTTTTATTGCATATTATGATTTTTGTGGGAGGCTCTGGACAGGTCTGAACCCTCACTAAAATTTGTGTTAAAATAATTTTGTTTTAAAGAAAAAATATAGTATTTCTGTAATTACTCAGGATATATTTCTTTATACTTAAAGGTTAGACTATTTACAAAAATATCAAATTTTCGAGTCTATCTTAATCCTTTTTATACACTCAAGAAGTAACAGTTAACATGGGTTTTATTGAAGAATATACTTCTTAAAACAAAGGTAAACAATAAGTAAAAAAAATTCACAAAGTTAAAAAGGATCAAGTGTCAGTTTTAGGTTCTGACACTTTACATTAAAAACATGAAGAAACTAAACTGTCAGAACCTAAAACAGAAGGCTGACACTTGATCGTTTTTAACTTTGTGAATTTTTTTTACTTATTGTTTACCTTTGTTTTAAGAAGTATATTCTTCAATAAAACCCATGTTAACTGTTACTTCTGGAGTGTATAAAAAGGATTAAGATAGACTCGAAAATTTGATATTTTTGTAAATAGTCTAACCTTCAAATATGAAAAAATATAGTAGTTAGAAATAGCGTCGTGTTTTCATATAAAAAATTAACTTTTAAACAATAGAAGAATGTAAGTCCGTCGACCATCTCTGGTTAGAGATTGAATTAAACGTCGATTTTGACCTCTCCCGTGTCCCCGAAAGGTTTCGAATTGTCACCTGATGACAAGAAGAGACCAATGGGAAAGTGGAATCGGAGGAAAGCGGATAAAACCCCAGAAATTCAAGGACGACGGCTTCTTCTCTCGAAAGTTTCAAGTGACAAATCTATTGTTGTTTGTGTCTTGTGCCCATCTTCATCTCCATCTCCCAACCTCAGATCGACATCTTTCCATCAATGGAAGTCAACCGCATTGTTCCGGAGTCGTTGATGGAATTGTTCATTCGTGAACAAGGGACACTTCTTCAAAGTGGGACTATCTTGGAAAGGAGAGGAAGATCCAGAGGCCGCAGCTGACATAGTATTTCCAAGATCGAGGAAATCTTGTAAGCTTCTTTCGTGTTTAATAAACGGTTGTGTTGTTTGTAAACGAAGCATCTATCTCTGACTCAACTGCTTCCACATGTTGATTGTTACCGCTCGGCAGACGGCAAGGGAGACGATGACGATATATATCACCTATTATCGTTTATCGTGTTTTTTTATTTCTCCCCCCTCGGCCCCCACAATATTTTTCGACGCGTCGGAAAGGCCCAGAACAAAAAAAATCCTTTATAAAATAACCCTCACCACTTACCAACTATTAACATCTGATAAGGATGTAGTGGACAGAAGAACACTCCCCGGTGCAGTGCCGGCCCGAGCCAAGTTTTAGGATGGAGCGAAATCCTATTATGGCGCCCCTCTTGGTTGCTCCTAATTTATACCCTTTAATTTTCTTTACCACTGAGGCGCCCCCTAGGACTTAGCGCCTGGAGCGGCTGCTCCGTTCGCCCTATGGTAGAGCCGGCTCTGGTTGTCATTACTGTTGCAATGTCCAGTATATAACTGGCTGCTTATAAAGTCAACTGAAAGCCATAGTAAATTTCTTATTCGTTCTTCAATACTCCGCAAAAAAGAATGTATATCGTCTTTTATTAGTGTTCGACCATCTTCCTTGTTTCATTCCTTATTAGCATTTTAATGTTTAAAATTAAAATTTTTCATATGTTCGCCATAGTCTGTTTTAGCAATTAATATCTTCTTCACCTTTTGTATCAGTGGGCACCGCTTTGTACTGTGAGCAAAAGCGGCTCTAGACAGAAAATGCCGCTCTACTTTATCTAATAACCATGATAATAGGTAATAGATTAAAAGTAATCGCGAAATATAGTCAGGTGATAGTGTTCATTACGTCGTGTCGTGTGATACCCGATTGACCAGTAATATGTTAAAATTTTAAAAATGTGCAGTTATTTTATAATTAATTTATAAACAAAATCATTAAAAGGGCCATTAGGAGGAGGTCTGCTTAGTAGAATTTTTTATAAACTAATCTCTTTATCAAACATTAAAAATCGTCGAAAATATTAAAATTATAATATATAATAAATTGATATTTTATTATAATATTCAAGGAATTAAAACAATCATTTTTGCATTAGAAATTTACAACTCAGATTAGAGTATAAATATTTCTTAATTAATGTAAGTTGTTCTCACAAGATTCGCTCATTTTTTTGCAGAATGGATAATTTGAAAGAATTGAAGACAAGGCACAATTTCGGGTCATACCGAGCCCGAGGATAGCGCCTGGTCTTCGCCTGGTGTGATACGGGTGCTTCCGAAAGATGCGAAGGAGGGAGCGAACAGCGCAAGTCGTATACACCCGACATCAAAGGGTAGTGGTGATAACTCCGGAAGACAGCGCTTCATCTGTCGTCCATTATCTAGAGCGGCGATATTCTGAAATTGCAAAATGGACGGTCGAGACACGGTCAGGTAACACGGGACTCGACAGAAACGAGTCCGAAGAAATGGTAAAAAAATGCATCGAGCGTAAAAGATCTTGGTAGAAAAGGTTGATTTTCTGCTGGAACACACAAACCTTTATTCTGTCGAAGCCTTCTTACGCCCATTTCGACTTTCCACCGAACGTGACACAGCCACCGGAAGTGGCCTTTCACCTGAATATGACACTTTCATCCGGAATTGATTTTTCATCCGGCTACGACTTAATCAACTGGACTTGACTTTCCTTTTCGATAGGGATTTTTTCTTTGCCCAATTTACGGACATACTTTGACGCCATTCGAGATTCATTCTTGTACTTCGGTTAAAGTGCATAGAACATCGACAGTGTCGTCTATCATGTCAAACGTGAGAACGAAACATTAAGCAGTGTTCACGTGTGTAATAAAAAACTGTGTTACGCTATTGTTTAAACGACTATAACTAACCAAGGCAACTTATAAGTTCTACTTGTAAAACATTTCACCACAGAATAAAGCATTTTCAGTTGAATTTTAACCAAACACACTTTGCAGTCGATGTGTGTTTAAACCGAAATTATAATTATTTCAACAATTAAATTTGTACTTGGAATTTTCACGATTGTATATTTTATACACTTTTATATTTAATAAAATTTATTAGATTTTAATACATTAGCTGTTTAAAGATTCGATATCTATTGAAGTTGCTCATTTTTAGATTAATTTATAATTAATAATAATGTTTCTAACAGTTAAGACAGATGAGGAAAAAAGAAAAAATGTACACGATTTATAATGAAACAAAAAATATTCAAATTTAATGAGCGAAATATAATTTTAAAAAGTTGGAAGTTTGTAATAAAACAATATCATGAATTAAGCTTCAAACAGAGTGAACAAAATCGTGCCCCCCAACATACACGCATACGTACATGCAGGAAAAAACCCCGAATTTTTTGCATTTCTGGACGTTTCAAGATCTCCTAAGTCCAAAAAATGTAAAAATCTTAGAGGGTCAATTTTTGACCGATCGCCATACTTCCTTCTGTTATATATAACAGTCGGAAAAGTGAAAATGTGGAAAGAGGAGAGGAAAAGAAGAGAATATAACGAAAATTTTATTTTATTCATAAATGTACAAAACAATTTTTATCGGGATGCAAATTTACGTTAATTTTGCACAACTAATACGGCAATTATTGATTTTAAACATTTCAGTTAATCCATTATACACTTCCTAAAAGAAACTCTTTAAGTTAATTAAGTGCTACTGATATGAATAAGAAAATTTCTTGTGTTTATATAGGGTTCACGCAGTACCAATCATGAAAGGCAGCTGCCCCGGGCCTCGCAATTTTAGGGGCCTCAATTTGGCAACTCAATATGTTAGACAGAATATATAGAAGGCAAAAAGTGATCTACTAAATTTTAACATTTATAAAATTAAATTCTAAATTTCTGTACGAGAAAAAAAAAACTTCTGTAAAATAATTAAATGTGATAATCCGAAAAATATTAAATTAAATACCATTGACTTTATTTTCTTGTCCACAACTTTATTTTAAATTTTGAAGGGCCTCTAAAATATTAGTTGCCCCGGGCCTGGCATTTTTTCTGAAAGGCCTTGGGTACACGAATATATATATTTGATCCAATCTTCTATGAAACGTGACTTCTAAATAATTGTGTCATTGCTATGGGTAGCTGCATACAGTTTTGAAGTGCATCTATTTTTGTCAAGCACTCCTGTTACTTCAATTAAAGTAGAGAAGACAGAATGAAAACCATTGGCTGCCTGCAAACAGTATAAAAAATATATTACTGTAAACTTTTTACTATTACTATGATAACATTTGGCTTTGTGGTATTTTTAAATATAAAAGCAAAAGGCTAGATTTGCCTAGACAACTGTGATCTTACCCGAATCAAGAAGTTCTTTTTCACGAAGAAAAATTCCCCAATGGATATTCCAATGGGTAATCCTCCAAATATCTTCATAAAGCAAACGACCTAACATTAAAAATTTTAATTAAAATATCAATGAAAATAAAAATTGTATGATATTATGAGAGAAATATAATGTATCATACCTTTAACTTGTATGTTAAGGTCAGAGGAGCAGAGAAATATTTTTCGACAGAGATGAAATTATTGTCGTATATCTGGAACAATATTATTACATTTTCATAAATAAAAAAAATCACGAGATGGTTTACGTTAATTTTTACTTACGATCGATGTTAAAGTCGACGCTACCCAGCAGGCTAATAGACTTAAACTTAATAATTGTAATGCAATTATAGCCATAAATAGGCGAACGATAAGATTCGTCTTAGCAAAAAGGACTCCGTACCAAATAAAGCAGGTTTCGTATACAAAATGTGTTTAAATGAGAGGCAAAAGAAGCTCCCATTTTTCGTTTACTTGTTGAAAAATTTCCCATAGTTCCATAAATTTTTCAATTAGATTTTGGAGGTAATATTTTGTCGCATTATTTACGATTTGTAATTCTGAGGAGATTTTAGATAATCTTTTTGATACGACTAATACAGTGAGCGTGCTTATAGTAAACATAGAGGCAATATGAATAAATGTTACCATAAACCAAATTTGGATAGTGACCAAACATGTAACGGCTCTAATTTTGTATTTATTTCCAATATTAACGTATGGCTAACCAATTAATGGTATTAAAACGGCAAACAAAGCGAGTAGAACGACTATGTACGAAAACGAAATCAGTACATATGGTTGAGCTTTATCAAGGCATTTTTCTTCATCTTCATACCTACTTTTGAGCACGGAATTATGGACATTCAACTTTTTTCTTTTCACGATGCTGAATTGCAAGGCAACGTAGTACAAAGAACAAGTTAACGGCAAGAGTTTAGAGTAAAAAAGCATGCTCTTCGAACACATTAAATATTCTAGCGCATGGGATATCGACCACGAAAATGATGGAAATAAATATTACAACGACCCATGCATATATTTCAATTATTCTTTCGTATGTGGAGAAAAGAGAGGCAGATATTCATTTGCAAGGTTCTATAAGGTTCAATCCGAAAATTTCACATACAGAAAGAAAAGGATCTAATTGCCTAACGAGACAAATGTTATCAAGATAAGATTCCATACAAATTTCTATAGTAGTATGTTACAATTACTCGAAAAATATTTCAAATAATACAAAGAATACTTTAGCAACGATTGGAAAATAATTCAATAAAATTTTCATTTTAATTAAAAACTCACCTCGCTCCACAAATTCCGAAATGTAATTAAAGTTAAAAGCTATTAGATCGAAAGAGATATGTAAAAAGTGTCTTCAAATATTATCTTGTAATTTAATCCTATTTAAATGAACCTCCAAATAGAAAAAAGTTATTTTTTTAACGAGGTAACATTTTTACTGCCTAACGTCAATGTAATGCTGTGGCATAATGCCATATTATTGTATACGCGATAATCATAAGTCTAGTAATAACAATTCTTTCTTGTGTTCTTTGTCTTCTCACTTCTTTGTCTTTCCACTCTTCACTTCCTGTTTGTTGGGGGGGGACATCGACGAGAACGAGGCCAGAGAGGGAGGATTGGCCCTGAGGCAGAGAGGGAGAGAAAAGGGTCACTCTCGAAGTAGACGAGGAAGTGAGCAGACGGGCATCTGGGACAGGATTCATTTTGGAGAGGAAAAGGACAGCGGATGATCGATCCATCGAGAAAATTACGGAGAAAGTTCGAATCAAGAATCGTTTGCGTCTTCAGGCTGAATTATAGTTTCCCCCTCCCACAGAAGGATATCACATCCGAATATCCTGGGTACCCTTTTTTTTTTCTAACTTTTCTATACGTCTTCCTATCTGTGCTTACTATCGTCTTTCCATAGTTTAATCTTAGTTCGTAAGGTAGTTATAACCATAATAATTAAGTTAGTAATTGTATTCTATTGTCGCGAACCTTCATTCGATTGTAACACCACGTGCATAAGACTTTTGTCTCCCGTTGTACGCGAGTGAGGTCGAGTAGGAATTCTGTGTACTCAATTTCTATTACCCCATAAAATTATAGTGGGCGCTTGTATATAAATTTTGTCCACGAATAAATCCTGTGTTTTCCTGTATTTTTTTTTTGTTGTCCATTCAGGGGTTCTTTGCACTCCATATTTTAACAATGCTTCGTGTTTATAGATTTACGTGAAGTGTATTCTTCTCTTCGATCAATTCTTTATACTGTTTAGTTATTTTCGAACGAATAACAATAATGAAATTCTTGATAATGAAGTCGTTCATTGATTGACATGCCAATATTTAATTTATCAATCGATACGCTAGAAATTTTAATGCAGTATTCAGTTTTCTCGAATATATTCCAAACAATCTACAGTAATATCTCGGTTTTCGTCGGTTTCAGTTTTTGTCGATTTTTTTCGCAAAAAAATTGCCTCGGTTTTCGTCGGTTGCCTCGGATTTCGTTGGTGTGCCCATGTGACCTCGCTGCAAATTTGTAAAAACAAAGGGACACCGACGCTTTTTCCTGCTCAGTTTAGCGTTGTTTCCTGTAGTGTGAACATTACTCTGCGCGTCTAGCCAAATAACTGCTGTATGACAGCCGGATGGCCGAGCGGTCAATGTGACAGCCTACCGCTCTGGGGGGGTCACTAGATCGACTGCGGAAGGGAAAAATATCCCTAGGAATTTTGCGTAAAGTGGTTCATCTGGATATGTCGGGCTTCGTCCCTTTCCACCCGGCAGCCCCATTGTGGGTCTGGCCGAACCCGTAATGGGCATGCAAAAAGAGGCCCTCTTAGTGCCCACAGGGCGGGAAAAAAGCCCTTCGAATGCCATGTTAAATGTTCATTTATTTACATTAGTCGTTTATATTCATTTTATATTCATTTCTTATTGTTTTTTAGTATTAAACACTATTTATTCTCTATAAAATGTGTTTTTATCTGTATGTTTGAGTGTCTAGAACGAATTAATTGGATTTACGTTTATTCATATGGAAATAATTGCATCGGTTTTCGTCGGTTTCTGATTTCGCCGATTGTTTTCGGACGGATTATCGACGAAAACCGAGGTATCGCTGTATTTGGGACAATATGATTAAAAGAAAATTAAATTAATTGAGCTGTAAAAAACACTGTTTATTTAAATCATTTTATTCTGCTTAATCAAAAATATTCACTGTGATATTTATTTTATAATCGAAATGCAATAACTAAGTATTTTTGGTCTAAAAAATATGCTATAGATTTTGTACCAGTTTGCACTACTGTATGTTATTGGGATTTCAAAATAAACCAGAATAAAAGACAATACGAAGACAATTAAGCTCAACTTACTCGTACCACTTTCCTGCGTTTATTTTATAGTTTTACTACAGGAAGATGTCGCAGAAAACGACCACTCGCGACTACAGTTTAATGGTTCGCGAGTGGTCCCTATCGACTGCAGAAAACCACATCATAAAAATTTAATTTTAAAATGAATTTCGTAGAAGCATTGTTATGGCTTTCATTACGCCGAAGAATAACGGCGTTGTTAAAACAGAATTTTTAGGATTTATCTGATTATAGAATATAAAAGCGAATGTCAATTTCACTTACATTATTAACGATTAAGAAATTACGAACTACGAAGATAATTTATTGGCATCAGATTTTAATCCATTTGAACATAACGTGGAGGAGCATGTCGTTGAACACAGTCCGAGGTGAATAAGCTTATTATTTTCTCACTACTGAAGGCGAATTATAATATCAGTATAAAAAATAGATACTAATATGTTATATCGAATAATAAACTGTATAAACTGTACTTAACATACTCATTTCTCTTTTTTTTTTTTTAATTCTCCTTTCAAGATTTTCTTAAAATATGGAGCAAAAGTATTCCAACGCATATTTTTCGATTCGGTTGTTATAAGTAGCACTTGGGTAGTTCCAAAGATATCATAAATTTTAAATTTCTGTTGTAAAAAGCTGTGTCGAAAAAATTGTTCTCAGTGTGTAATTCGCGCCAAACATACATGTGATCAGACATCACGTGCACCTGATGCGTGTGGTCGTCGTGTGTTAATCCTGTCGCACTATGTGAGTTGCATTCGACCACCGGCTACAACAATTTTGTGGGTGATATTGACCACGCATTATGACTGATAAGAAACACGAGTTCAGCGAGTGGTCCGTCTGAGTTGCTATCGTGTGTTTCCATATTAATTTCTTATTATCCACAAACAATCAGTTTTGTGTATTGTTTTGTTTTGTTAAATTACAGCAACGAAACACTTCGGCGATCTGCCTAGGGGATGCCTTCCGAAAAGACTTTTTAAGGTTAACTGGCTTCTTATACAGACGTGGAGAAAACCCAGAAAACTCGACCGTCTTGACGAGGCGCGAAACCACGACCGAACTCCCAGTATTCAGGGTAAGAACACCGGGTAGCCACCGGTGGGCCCCAGATAAGTCGGGCCCGTCCCTCACCACCCGGCCGCGCCATTTTGGGCCTGGCCGAACCCATAATGGACTTGCTAAAAAAGGTTCTCTTAGTGCCCACACGGCGGAAAGAGTCCAAGAAAACCAGAATTACAGTTAATTAACAATTTTTTTTTTATTGAAATGTTTTCGTTAACAAAAAAAATTAAAATTTTTAAATTTTTTTAAATTTTAAATTTATTAAATTTTATTATATTTCTACTTTTTATATAAAAATTTTTTATTTATTAGTTTTACGAGACAATTTTGTTAATCACGTGTTCTTGATAATTCTAAAACTAAATCTGGCAACATTGGCAACACTAATTAAAGAAACTTTATCCGCCAGAGAGCGCTTTAACTGCATAATACAAGTTTGTATTTTGAACATTTGGATTGAAATTGTATTAAATATTTTTGATCATATAAAATGTCGGTTAATGTTAAGAATACGTGCGGCTAGATAGCCAGATGGCACAACGCGCTGATTGGTCAGCTGAATGACGTCAACCCACCGATTTTGTGGTCGTCAGAACGAATCATGACGAAATAGATTATTTTTTTAGTTGTAATATGGAATGAGTATAAAGTGAAAATAAAGTATAAAGTTTAGCTCGCATGTTTTCTTAAATTTATAGGAATAATTTTAAAAGAGTTTACTGTACTTAATAAATTACTAAGATTATTTATTTTTTGAACATTTTAGCTTCATACTTGATTTTTATGCACCTCTGAACCAAATCATACACAATAGATTATTTTAATAGTGTGATTGGTGTTTTAAATTTACGTGCACAGATAATAAATAACAGAAAATTTATACTTTGTTACAGATATTATTCACAAAAAGTTTAAGAAAGGATGAAATCTATAATTAAGACAAGTCAGAATATTTTTTGAATTTGTCATATGCATTTAATATAGTTAGATGAAACAATAAAATTAACCAAGTTTTGTATACCTTGAAAGAGAAATTTTCACAAATCTTGCTTAACAAATTATAAAGTTTAAATGTAAAAGTTATTGAACAATTTTGAATAAAGAATATTCTCCATAGATTACTCTTATCAGAAATTTTTTAAAAATGCTTTAGTTAGAATTGACAGTTCTTTCTGTCAATAGACATTTTGTGTTTTTGAATATCAGTTCAAAATCTGTGTCTAAGAAACAATACTTTTCAAATTTACAAAAATATCATATAACTAGTTCTATCATGAATATATCTGTAAATATGTTTAATCAAATTTGTATGACCATTTTTCAAATTAAAAGTGCAGAATTCTTGTATAAATTATTTAACAATCAATAATACTGTATTTAAATTCCTTTGAATATGTTTTAAATAAGAATTTCCATATATTTCATCATGGAAATTGTTTATGAATATAAGTGTCAGGAAAAGGTAATGTTACATTTGTACTGTAATGTTTTCATAGTAAGCTATTTTTTTAAATCCTTTTTTATTTTTTGTTAAAATAACATTACCATACTAATGAATAACTATTTCTAGATGCCTTGTATGTGCTATATACCTGGTTGCGTAGGGAAATATAAAGTGAAGTGACATCCAATGTCTATATTTAAGTTTCCACAGGATTTGATTTAAAAAGCAAA